ACCCAAGCTCGAACTCGGATTCGACCATTTTTGGGGTCGAATGGACTTTAATCGAAGTGTTCTCAACTGAGAACACCTAGGTTAAAGTCTATTAGACCCCGATCCTTTTGTTGATTTCGACAAACCCCTATAGATTTGAGTTCTAGGGTTCTTGGGGCTCGAATTAGGGGTTCGAGCCTTTCTGGTTTGATTCAAATGGAACCAAGGTCATTCAGGGGGTGAGGAAGGTCAANTCGATGGCCAGGATTAGGGGAGTTAACCAACACGGCGTCGTTTGGTTTAAGTAGGGGGGTCGGTTCGAACCGGGAAATGGGTCGGGTTCAGGTAACGGGTAAGGGGATGAAATCCCGGCCGTTGGATCGATTTAATCCAACGACTCTGATTAAAAGGGCCAATACGACACCGTCTGAGGCGTCTCAAAGCTTGCCCAAATCGGACCAGATCTGGGGGCTGTGTTGGGCCTGGGTTTGGGTCCAACANCCAACGGCTCTGATTAAAAGGGCCAATACGACGCCGTCTGAGGCGTCTCAAAGCTTGCCCAAATCGGACCGGATCTGGGGGCTGTTTTGGGCCTGGGTTTGGGTCCAACTAGGGTGGCCCAATTCTGATTTCCTTTATTTTCACCCATTTTCCTTCTTTCTTTAATTATCAAAATTAAACAAAAATCCTAAATAAATTATAAAAATCAAAATAAAATAAAATTACACACATATTATTTAACACCTATAATAATTAACACACAATATTAAAAAATAAAATCACACAATGACAAGAAATACACGTGCATATTTTTTGTGATTTTCTTTTAACCAAATTATGGTTAATTAATTCCTAAATGTACCACTAATTCCTAAATGCATGCAACATGTATTTTTGTATTTTTAACTATAGCAAGGCGAGCATTTACGGACAGAATAATTATCAAAACGTCACGCAAATTCTCAAAATTATACCCGAAGGTAACTTGTTTTACTTTTTCGATTTCTTTTGGAGTAGTTTCCGCGAAGCAAAAATCACGTGCTCACAATGTGCATGCAGAAGATCATTATGAAAGCGATTACAGAGATGCACATCTAGAAGATGAAACTGATATTGGCACTGAAATTGGGAAAGCTTACATATAAATTTGTTGTCATTGAAATTTATATTCAAGTAATAAACATTTTTGTGATTACAAATATATGTAGAATCTAATGATGGAGTGGAAGTTCAAGATGTAGTAGCATGGCAAGTCCAGGAAAATTCAAAAGAGACAGGAGTATCAGAAATAATTTGTAAATGTGGAGTGCAATCTCAGGATTTAGAAAATCCATTAGGAACAAGTGTAAGTGAGATTGTATGCAAATGTGTTGAAGGAACATATGATCTCTCTACACCTCTCTCACTTAAAGAGAAATTTGAAAATTAAAATGATGCCAATCAAGGTTAGATAGAATTTTCATGATATGTTGAATGTTAGTTTTAGTAAACTATTAGTAAAGGAAATTAATTGTAAATGTTACAGAATCTTTTGAAGCTGCAAGGGAAGAAGATAGAGTGGACTATCAAGAGAGAAGTGGAGGACAATCTCAAGACTTAGAAAATACCCAAGGAACAAGCATAAGTGAGATTATTTGCAAATGTATAGAAGGAACATATGATCTCTCTACACTTCGCTCTCTTACCGACAATATTGGAAGCCAAGAAAATGCTACTGAAGATAATGATTTAACTGGCATGATCTTGACAGCTGCAAAAGGTTAGATTAAGTTTTTTTTTTAAATTTTATACATGTTTGTTTTAATCAAAGATTAGTAACACGTACTAATTGTGAACTTGTAAATATTTTGCAGAATCTTGTGAACTTGCAATCAAAGATCATGGAGAACAGTTGCAAGATAAAGAAAATGCACAGTTGCAAGATGAAGAAAATACAACCAATATGTCTGGTCAATTGTCTGTTGAAGAAGTATAAAAAGGCAGGGTAGACAACACAAGTATTGATTGTGTCCTAAATATTATATCCATGATTGAAATTGCTAGTACATTTAAAAAATTATGTCCTTAGTTTTTTATCTCTTAATTTGACAATTCATTCTAGAATTGATGACTTGCAGAAAACTAATGTATACAGTGGTGTCTGCAGAGCAAAACAAAAATGAAGCCTCTAACCATTATACTAGGAAAAGGAAGAGAAATAGTATTGGTTTTGATGGTCCATCATTTTTTATTCTTACTCTTACTCCTCCAACTACACAAATGAGCAGTGATGAGTGTTTGTCTATAGAGGTTGAAGGAAATGTTGAAGATCTTGGTCGAGGGAAAAGGAATAAGAAGCTTAGTTGGCAATTGAAATATCCTTTTGAACAGGAAAGAAAAACAGGAACATCGATGGCGCACAATGAAAATACTCCTAAGAATACGTGCTGGATAAAATCAAAATATACTCGTACATGTATTTTTCATTATGCCAAAGATGATGCAAACTTATTGAAGACATTCATTGGGTGGTTGGTCAAGGAGAAAAGGAAAGGTCACAAAAAAGCGTAAGCCCTTAAATGTATTTTATTATTTGTTAATTGCTTAAATTCGTGTCCTAAACTTGTAATTTTAAATTCCTAAATTAAGTGTCCTTAACTTTTGAGATTGCAAGTCTAAGTTCAGGACCAAGTGTCTTTAACTTTTGAACTTGTAAATGTATGTTCAAGACCAAGTGTCCTTAACTTTTCAACTTGTAAATGTAAGTTCAGGACCAAGTGTTTTTAATTTTTGAACTTGAAACTCAAAGTTAAGGACCAAGTGTCCAGAACTTTTGAACTTGGAATTCAATGTTCAGGACCTATTGTCCTTAACTTTTGAACTTCTTAGCCTAAGTTCACGACTAGATGTCCTTAATTAGGAAATGAGGACTAACTTCTAACTTTGATATTTTCAAAATTTTCAGGGGAGAAACTGACCTATATGCTGACAATAATGGTGTGAGAAAGAATCCATATAAATTCTACCATCAAAAAATCAGTAGCAAAATGTTCTTCCTTGAGCTTTCAGATAGTAGATTTGTACTTGATGATAAGGTTTGATAATTCGCAAGGCATTTATTTTCTTTATTCTTTATTTATTATTTTTTACTTATTTATGACTGATGGATTTGCTTTTTTTTTTTTGCTTTTTATGAAGTATATTGATATTGCCCTGTATTATTTGAGAAAGAAGGAATGCTACCACCCTCGCGCCCATCCTTTTTGTTGCACAACTACATGCATACTTTTTGATAACTATATGGTGCTTGTATATAAGGATTTCAATGAAGATGCTACAGATGAGTTTTGGTGTGGTGATAATCAATTGTTTCTGACACCATATGTGTGGGGTGACAGTCATAGATGTGGAATTGCTTGGATTGAGGTTGACAAAATCTTTTTTCCATGTCGGCTTCCTTCAGAAGATGATGATGTTGTGACACACATTTTGGGGGGTATTGGACTTGAATGAGAAAAAGATTGATGTGTACGATTCCATATATAGTGAGCCATATGAGACATGAATGAATCACATTGAAATGTATGCACGCATGATCTCCCACTTGCTAAAGTTCTCACAATTTGAGAAAAATCACAAGTCTTTTGGAAATACATTCAACAAATTTGATATTAAGTGGCAAAGATTACCATACCAACTGGATCGTACGTGATGTCATTTGCTATATAATTTATATCTACTATAGATTTATTTTATTAAAGATATAGTTTAATTGACTCCATATCTTACATTTTCCTTAGGACTGATTGTGGTGCAATCCTAATCAAGTATATAGAGTTGTTGATGATGTGAAAGGACGTGGAGAAATTCCAACCTGAAGACATAAAAAACTTTAGAAAAGAACTTGCATCAAATCTTTGGGCACATGGAGAGTGGAAAAGAAATTTCGGTTATGATACACCACCAAAAAATATTGGCGACGACTGTGATAGTGAAAATGAAACTTGCTGCCCAAAGGAGCTGTAGTTTAGTTGTAAAGAAAGTTAGTTGTTTCTGATATTTTGTATAAAATTGCTGTAAACAAGGCACTTTTATTTTGTTTGCATAGCATAATTTTTGGTCTCAACTATGCCAAATTACAGTTGTAGAAGTAATATGAAGGCATCATATTATTAATTTCTTTGTTTCTGTCAAGTATTGATTTGTCCATTTGCAATCCTTAAACTAAGTGTATTGAGCATGAAAGTATTAGTTAAGGACCAAGTGTCCTTAACTTTTGAACTTGGAAATCAAAGTTTAGGACCAGATGTCCTTAACTTTTGAACTTGAAACTTGAAGTTCAGGACCAAATGTCCTTAACTTTTGAACTTGGAAATCAAAGTTTAGGACCAGATGTCCTTAACTTTTGAACTTGAAACTTGAAGTTCAGGACCAAATGTCCTTAACTTTTGAACTTGGAACTTGAAGTTCAGGACCAATTTTCTTTTTATTTTTGAGCTTGGAATTCAAAGTTAAGGACCAAGTGTCCTTAACTTTTGAACTTGGAACTCTAAGTTCAGGTCCAAGTGTCCTTAACTTTTGAACTTGGAACTCTAAGTTCAGGTCCAAGTGTCCTTAACTTTTGAACTTGGAACTCTAAGTTAAGGACCAAATGTCCTTAACTTTTGAACTTGGAAATCTAAGTTAAGGACTGCCTATCCTTAACTTTTGAACTTGGAACTCAAAAGAAACAAAAAGCATGTAAGCGCAAAGAAACTTTGAATATTCAGGACATTTTGCTCAAATAAAAACAATCTAAATGAATCCAATTTACAGCAAAAATGTAAAAGAGTAGATAAATATAAGTGTATTTATCTACTATTCTCTATGCTTCCTTGAAAATGGATGAACTGCCGGAGAATATATACAACTGTTCTATTATAACCAATTCTTCTGCAACGACCACATTTGAATATTATTTTTGATGACTCGATAGCTGGAATATGCCTTTTCTTCTGACTTCTACCTGGTGGCACTTTAAAATCTGGAGGTTTAATAATTTGTTACTTAACACTCTCTGGTATAATCCAAGAATCAGTATGTCCTACAAAATGTATTTGTCTTTCATATGTATTCAGCCAATATTCCTTTAAGTACCAGTGCGAGCAAATATTGGACTTCTTGATGTTTCTCTTCTCGATAGCTGCAATTGCATGTATGCGTAATTCATCAAATTGAAACTGAAAACAATCACATATTCTTTTGTTTAAGTCCACCAAGAAAGTAATTCCTTCTTCCTCAACTCTAGAATGCCATGAATCAACAGGGAAGACCTTCAATGTTGAAAAATTATAAGTTAGTACATTATGTTAAATTATCATTAATGTAATAAGCTAAACAAAAAACATAATACTTACATTCAAAGTAAATGCTAAATCTATGAACATAATACTTACATTCAAAGTAAATGCTAAATCTATCATTTTCTTCAATTCCTCTTCTACCCAACAAGAAACGTCATAAAAAGTTCCGTCTGCTTCATTTCTTCTTTCATAAAACCAACGTTGTAGCTTCACTTGGATGAAATCCATCATTCTTAATATAGGCAACTCCCTTGCTTCTAATAGAACAAAATTCATTGACTCGACTATGTTTGTTGTGAGCATGACATATCTTCATCGTGGACTACAAGAACGTTCCCACCTTTCCGGTGGTTCTTCCATCAAGTAGTCATAAGTCTTCTTTTCTACTTTGCTATATATGACATGTATAGATCAAATTCTTTGTTCTTGTATATTCTTGCAGTAGTTTGGGAAAGTTTTATGACCTCACTTTTCACTTTCCATCGCTTTAGTTTCTGCTCCAAATAATAGATACAAATCCTATGATGGCTTTCAGGATATACCTTTGCAATACCATATGCAATAGCTTGATGCTTGTCTGATAAAAAAATTAAATTCGCACGGCTCCCAATTGCATTACGAAGCTCACTAAAGTACCACTCATAGGAATTGTTATTTTCAGATTTTGTAATTCCAAAGGCCAGTGGGAAAATTTGGTTATTTGCATCATTTGAAACCGAAATCATTAAAACACCACAACATTTTGACTTCAAAAAAGTTGCATCAATAGAAATCACTGGTCTACAGTGATTCCAACCAGTTATTGATGATCCATATGCATAAAACATATAAAGAAACCTGAAAATACAGTATAACAGAAGGTTAACAGAAGTTAAGGATAGGTAGTCCTTAACTTAGACTAACAAGATCAAAAGTTAAGGACAGTTAGTCCTGAACTTCAGGTTACAAGCCCAAAAGTTTAGGACGGGTAGTCCTGAAGTTAGACTTCCAAGGTCAAAAGTTAAGGACACTTGGTCCTTAACTTAGAATTACAAGTTTAAAAGTTAAGGACATGCATTCTTTAACTTAGAGTTACAAGCTCAAAAGTTAAGGACACTTGGTCCTTAACTTAGAATTACAAGTTTAAAAGTTAAGGACATGCATTCTTTAACTTAGAGTTACAAGTTTAAAAGTTAAGGATATGCAGTCCTTAACTTAGAGTTACAAGCTCAAAAGTTAAGGACAAGCAGTCGTTAACTTAGAGTTCAAAAGTTAAGGACCAAGTGTCCTTAACTTTTTGACTACACACATCAAAAACTGGTTAAGGACAACATGTCCTAAAGTTTATAAAACAGACTAATAATCTCTTTTTTGATTGTTTACCTGTTGTTGTCGTCTATCTTTATGTTAGTATATGTTCCTGGGTTTTTACTTTTCATCATATACAAGTATGAATACAATAATTCATAATTCTCTTCATGAGTTCCTCTTATTAAAGCTGAAGCATGTTGAATAGCATGCCACGCCTTGTGATACCCAATGTCTAGCCCATACAATTTTTGCATTTCTGCCATGACAAAAGCTAGTGTAACTTTAAACCTTGGGTCTCGAAGATTGTCAATAATGTAACCACTAATCAATTTTGAAGTTGCATGCCTTTGATTAGCTTTCATAGTGTTAACTGAGCAGTCATGATTTTTCTCAATCTTTACTATCTTGAACAGTGTGGAATCTTTAACTCTGAAAGCATGCACACACCACCCACACCTATCATCATTGCATTTCAATGAATATCTTGTTGAGCTTGATCTAACAACCTTGAATTCAAAATGCTCTTTAATTGCTATATTCGAAAAACAATTAATTATACTCTTATTTTTGTCAAATATTGATCCCACTTTTATTTCATCCAACGAAGCATTTTCTCTTAATATCGTAGTTGGGGATTCTTTTTGTTTTGAATTTGAGCTTCTTCTAGTTAGTTGAGCTGAGGTTTTTTCAGCAAGTTCTTCTATTACCGGTGCACTCTCTAAGACTTGAATACCCAAAGCTTGTTCGTTGTCAATCTCTATAATACTTTGTCCTTCCACTTGAATAGAATCAAATGTTTGAAGCATCTCTTCAGTTATTGGTTCGGCGTCAACCATATCTATTTCCATTATCTGTTGCCATTTGTTTTGATTGTCATGTTGATTTTCTCTGTTGATATATTCAAAGGTGCTTGTAGATCCAAAATTTCTTTCCGAAACATCAACAATGAAACGGCAACCCTTGAAGAGTGAAAGACTTTTTAGTAACTCTATACATGTGTGAAGATCTAAATCTTTGGATACAATCATTCCCTTGCATGTTCCCAGGTTGATATCAAACCATATTATTGCTTCAAACTTGTCTCTGTCCAATTCAATAACTTCAAAGACCTGTTTAATAAAATCCTCAAATCGAATTGGCTCAGGTACTAGAACAAGCTTTGTTTGATGGTCAAGATATTTATAGTCTTCAGTCCATATACCATTAAAAGCAACTATAATACATATTGTTTCCATCATGCATGTCAAGAGAATGGAAAATTCAGGACATATTTATAGACCAATCCTTGTATAAATTAAGGACAAGAACTGTAAGTTCAGGACCAAGTTAAGGACCAAGTGTCCTTAACTTTTGAACTTGGAAATCAAAGTTAAGGACCAAGTGTCCTTAACTTTTGAACTTGGTATTCAAAGTTAAGGACAAGTGTCCTTAACTCTTGAACTTCAAACTTGAAGTTTAGGATCATGAATCCTTAACTTTTGAACTTGGAACTCAAACTTCAGGACCAAGTGTCCTTAACTTTTGACCTTGTTAATCTAACTTCAGGACCATGTGTCCGTAACTTTTGAACTTGGAACTCAAATTTTAGGACCAAGTGTCCTTAACTTTTGAACTTTGTAACTGTGAGTTTAGACCGAAGTGTCCTTAACGTTTTCAAAACAATTTGCAAAACCAGGACATTATGTCCTTAATATTCATAACAACAACAAAAACGTTAAGGACATTGTGTCCTTTAACTTTTTCAATACAATTTGCAAAATCAGGACACCAAATCCATTGTGTCCTTAACTTTTTCAATATAATTTGCAAAAGTAGGACACCAAATCCTTAACATTACGTCTTCAATATTTATAGAATAATCACAGGATGCGATGTCCTTAGAGTTATCAATCCAAAAAAGCAAAAAAAAATAAATTAAATTCCTAGCATCAAATTCCTAGTAACGAAATAAAAATCAACAAAAACACACAAAAGCATAACTTACTGTAATTTTATGTAGATTTTTGGACGAGAAATTGAATTCTATAGTTTGAAATCGAAAGAGAGGCTTCTGCAATTTTGGACGATCACAGTTGTTGCTGCTGCTTTGAGAAGGTAGTTGCGTGCTGCTGCTGCTGATCGTTAATAAGGAACGTAGGTATAAGCTTATAACAGAAGGATATTTTCGTCCAGGCAGGTTAAAGTTAATTAAAGCAGTGGCTAATGACTAAAGACATTTAAAATAATGGCTTAAAAATAAAGACATGTGCTATTAATGGCTATCTATGCACATCACCCTCGGAGAAAAGTTTAGGTTTGTATTATAAAATATCAAAAAATAAATAATAATCTAGATTTAATATAAACTCAACATTCCACTTCAGGGAATTTAGTGGGTTTGTTGTTGTTATTGTAATAATCTAGATATAATATAAACTCAAGGTGTCGGCATATACGTGGTACAAGATTGGGGCATCGACTCAATTTCGAAACCCATTTTAGAATGTAGATAAATCTGTTTTCGAGGGTGTCCAAATTATTTTTTAATTGTACTTGCAATTCATCATGCTAATTGCTTGCTCATTTAATGCTTGATATATATATATATAAGAGTTGAAGTTTGATGAGAGTGTTCGAATCAAGATAACAAGGCGTTATGTAGAAGCTAACAATACAAGCTTTTGACGAAGATAAATCAGACGACAAAAAGATTATACTAAAAGAGGCATAATAGACTAAATCATTTTGGTCGATTGACCTACATCAATTTACTAATATAAAAGAAAAAAAACTATGGAGAGATAAATTCGCCCTCTAAATAAGACTCTTTTAATTACTACATTGTGGATATTATTGTTATTGTTGTTGTGAGAAGTAGAGATCTTCACTTTATAGATATCCAAAACTTTTACTTCAAAAAAAAGGATAAGGCATATGAAGGAGATTTATTCCTTTTAGAATTCTTTTTCCCTTCCTTCAAGAAATAGAAGGCAAAATACTAACAATTCTCCCATTACCTAAATTTTTAGACAAAATAATCTTGATTTGTCTTGTTCACATAATCTTCAATGTCAACTACTGCTTGCCATGTTTTAAAAAAATGTATAGGTTGGAAAATCTTGACATTGATTGAAAGAAGCCCAAAAATAGGTTAAAGGGACCACACATTAAGAATAAACATGTGTTAAACTGATATTAGTTAAAAGGAGCCCATGTGTTAAAAATAAACATGGGCAAAAACTTGCATTGGAGCCCATGGGTTCCACATATACATGACTTAAAACTGACATTGGTATAAAAATAGCGGCCCAAACAATTAAAAATGAGGTTTTATTTCTATAAAGATGCAACAACAAGGGTTTTGAATATTTGTAATTGTAAATCATCTCCATGTGTGACCTCAAAATCAATATATTTTTTGATAAATCTTAACTATCATCAAATTGATTGTGGTTAGAACTGAACCTGCCTTGAGAATGTATTCAACCAGCAGCTCTAATATAATCGAAATAACAATGTGTCATACTGAATCTAACAATGCAAACTGGCGGCGATAAATCAGACAACAAAGAGATTATACTAAAAGAAGCATAATATGCTATAATATGATTTTGGTCAATTGACCTACATCAATTTACTAATATTAAAAAAAAACGTACGAGAGATAAATTCTTCCCCTAGATAAGACTTGTTTAATGACTACATTATGGATGTTGTTGTTGTTGTTGTTGTTGTTGTTGTTGTTATTGTTGTTGTTGTTATTGTTATGAGAAGCATAGATCCTCAATTTATAGATGTTCAGGATTTTTCCTTCAAGAAAAGTATAAGGCATATGAAGGAGATTTATTTCTTTTATGATCCTTTTTCCCTTATTTCAAGAAAGAAAGTCCTAAAAGATTAGAAATTAAGAGCAAAACCCTAACAAGGAGTTGTGCAGGCTCTTAATGAAATATTCAATAAGCTACAGTTTTGATGTTAATGTTCTCCAGGTTTAGTGCAAAGTTCTAAAAACAGTTAATGCACATTCAATTCATTAATGCAATATTTAGTGAGGTCAGACTTTGCATGCTAATATTGTTTCTTTGTGTGAATGTATAAGTTATTTTATTATAAATTGTATCACTTTAAATGCATTCTTATTCCGTAGATTTACTCTATCTTTTCATCTACCCTTCTTTCCACTATTTAATCTCCAGATCATTGACAACCTACACAAATTTTCTAATGATCCATTCTCAAGAAATTATCTATGCTCATCTTGCTGCCCTTTATGTATTTTCATTTTTATTGTAATTATTTGTTATTGTTGTTGTCGTTGTCATTGTCGTTGTTGTTGTTGTTGTCGTCATTATTGTTGTCGTCATTATCGTTGTCGTTGTCGTTGTCATTGTCGTTGTTGTTGTTGTTGTTGTCGTCATTATTGTTGTCGTCATTGTCGTTGTCGTTGTCATTGTTGTTGTTGTTATTGTTGTTGTTGTTGTTCTCGTTGTTTTTGTTCTCGTTGTCGTTGTCGTGGTTGTCGTTGTCATTGTCGTTGTTGTTGTTGTTGTCGTCATTATTGTTGTCGTCATTATCGTTGTCGTTGTCGTTGTCATTGTTGTGGTTGTTGTTATTGTTGTTGTTCTCGTTGTCGTTGTCGTGGTTGTCGTTGTCATTGTTGTGGTTGTTGTTATTGTTATTGTTGTCGTTGTCGTTGTTGTTGTTGTTGTTGTTCTCGTTGTTGTGGTTGTCGTTGTCGTTGTTGTGGTTATTGTTGTTGTTGTTGTTGTCGTTGTTGTTGTTGTGGTTGTGGTTGTTATTGTTGTCGTCATCGTCGTCTTTGTCGTCGTTGTATAAGGAACATGAAGGAGATTATTCCTTTTATGATTCTTTTTCCCTTCTTTCAAGAAAAAAGACCTAATAGATTAGAAATTAAGGGCAAAACCCTAACAAGGAATTGTGCAGGCTCTTAATGCAATATTCAATAAGCTACAGTTTTGATGTTAATGTTCTCCAGGTTTAATGCAAAGTTCTAAAAATAGTTAATGCACATTCAATTCATTAATGCAACATTTAGTGAGGTCAGACTTTGCATGCTAATATTGTTTCTTTGTGTGAATGTTTAAGTTATTTTATTATAAATTGTATCACTTTAAATGCATTCTTATTCCGTAGATTTACTATATCTTTTCATCTACCCTTCTTTCCACTATTTAATCCCCAGATCATTGACAGCCTACACAAATTTTCTAATGATCCATTCTCAAGGAATTATCTATGCTCATCTTGCTGCCCTTTTATATATTTTCTTTTCTATTGTCATTATTTGTTGTTGTTTTTGTTGTTGTTGTTGTCGTCGTCGTCGCTGTTATTATTGTTGTTGTTGTTGTTGTTGTTGTTGTTAATTTTCGTTTATACTTTTGTGATTATAGTGCAAAAATAGTGATAGATATAGGTATTGCAATGTCTTCTTTTTCAAAAATAAATTATGGTGAAAATGAATTCTTCCTGTTATTTGAGGTTATTACTGGAATTTTAATGACACGAATTTACTATAAACTTGACTTGTTCTGATGTGATGCCCTATATAGTTGTAGAAATAATTACTCTGTTGACTACAAAATATTACATATTAATCTTCCTTGTTATTCTTTTTGCATTAGCATCGATTTTTATAATAAATAGGTGCTGTCAAATTGTGCTAATCAAGCATACATCTACACGATTCTCACATGCACCATAAACGTATGCTAGTTTATATTGAACTCAAAGAGAAGAAGAAGAATAAGAGAGAGGAGAAGATCGAATCTCAGTTTTTGTTAATACACATTGATAATCGACTTAGTCTAATATATACTAAGTAGTTATCACTTTAGTACACCCTTAAGTTTCTTTAGTTACACTTTAGTCCCACTAACAGATTAACAACTAACTTTTCATTTGCATGGATGCATGGCGTTCTCTATCCGCATTTCTTTGCAGCTTTAACTTGAATTTGAAGTAGATGATTCAATTTTGAATCTTTAATCTTTATTGTTATTTAATAAAAAAATTGTCAAATCCTTAAATCTCATTAACCAATTGAATTCTTTTTTTATATTGAAATTGACTTTTTCATCAGGACAATTTGATAAGTATTTAGTTTCCTTAAAAGTGGAGAACCGATATTTTAGAGCATTCGGAGCCAATGAAAACCGAATTATGAATTTCTCAAAGTAAAAATAATGTTCTTTTGTCTCAGGCTCTACGAATTACTTGAACTGGTTCTTCTTTTTAG